ACCACTGGCATATCAGTAATAGGATTAAAACAAATTTAAATAGATATCCAATGAGAAAATGTTTATCTATTTATCTACTTCCATTTGCATACTTTCAAAATGCTAGATTTGCAGGAGCTGGTGCAAGTAACGGGAGCTCACACTCTCACTGTCAGCTTTCCAGTTGACAAGCTCAGAGTCTTTAACCACTGAGCTATTGCGTCCTCAGGAAAAGATAAGTAGAAGGCATGGAAGGTACAAAAGCATGAATAATTATGGCCAAGGGCTTTCTCTCCAGGAAGGGCCACAATTGATTCATCAACCAAAGCTGGGAAAACCCTTTTCTAGCCAGGGCCTTCATATAGGGAGTTCTTACTGGCTCAAGGTTGACTCAGCTTTCCATCCTTCTGAAGTCAGTAAAATGAGGACACAAATTGTTGGAGGCAGTATGCTGAGTCTATAAATAGCTTAAGGAGGGCTGAAAAGCAGTGTGAAGTGGTATATAAGTCTAAGTGCTATTGCTATATAGCAGCTACAAGTCTAGGAGAATCTCCAAATCATAGGCCTGCTGCTTTGGGGAGTGCTATCCCATTTGAGTTATCACTAGAACAGATAATTGCTGGAGAAACATAACATAAACTCAGTCTCATTGGGATTCAACTTCAATCAGCAAATATTGAGTCAGAGCATCCCTCACAATACTTTTCTGGCCTAGGGTAGCAATATTGATTTGAGTATCATTCGTGTAATAAGGACACCTTATCTGAAACTAGTGGATGAACTCACCTAATGGCTTCATGCAAATCTTATACAGCAGAGAGGAAAAAAGGAATCTGCAGCACTCCACACTGCCATCATCATTAGGTCATCCCTATTACCACTGATTGGAACTGCATAATTGGGAAGGAGAAGAAACCTTTGCCAGCATCCCAAGAAGATATCATAATTAATAGTTTGAATGCTGCTGAGAGATGGGCAGTCCCCTCATTCAAGTCCAATTGTTCGTCATCCAATAGTGTGACTAATGCAATTTCTGTCTGAACAAAAAATATCCATATCTGTTTCCGTTAGGGCACTGAAAGCATACCATTCTCTCTTTAAACTTCCTCCAAAAATAAGATTGGTGATTAGGCAGTATTTATCTAAGATAGTTAAATCCAGGCTCTTGAGGAGAGAATGAAGCACTGCCACTTTTAATATACCTAAATAGACAAAATAGACAAATTGTCTTCTTCTACTTCACCAATCTTCCAAGGATGCTCTCTATATCCAAAATTATCATTGCCTTTGGTGGGTTATCTTTAGTGGTGGGTTGTTTCCAACCTAGCACCAGCTTATCATTTTTATTTTGCGAATGTGTGCTTGTGTGACACACAGGTGAAGTTTGTAAATAACATACAATTTTTAGGGTTTTTTTGTTCTTGCTTTGCAAAGTGCCGGCTTTCCATTTGCCTGTAAAATGTAGACATGTAAACAATTATATCAATGTTAAACACTGATGTAAATTAACATTACATCAATGTTTAAAATTTTTGAGAGAATAGATAGGATATAGATGTCCATCGAAGTATTTCTGCTTACAAGATAACTTTGGTGGCTTCAACTTTAGCTACTGAATTTGAGTCACGAATCTACTTTGTTCTTTTTTTTAAACTCCTGTTATACTGTTTTGGTATCATGAACATTGTCTTGTTGATATGTAGAAAATAATATTTCTGTCAGTATTATAGTATTACACTGTTACACTATTTTAGAATGAAAGCTATATGATGGCTTTATGCTGCACTAACCTACAAGGAACTTTTTTCATTTATTTCTATATTATTTATTTTTAGAAAATTCTAAACTCTTCCCAAGGATTCCATGACAGTATACATTCAATTATAAAAATATATACAATACAATCAGGCAGAAGGGGGGGGGGGGTTAGGACTCTCAGTTTTGTTAAGAATAATATGAATATGAATGTATGAATGTATATATGTAGTAAAGGGAAAACCATATTCGTTATAATACTTTTCTTGTATCTTCTTTATTATTTAATATTTGGTTTTGGTTGTCCCTATTTTATTCTTTTCCTTTCCTTTGTAGACCGAATACGATCATACGATCGTAGCATGGTAGTTTGCAAGGCCAGGAAATTATGGAAAATATTTTCCAGAGTTCCCTAGCCTTGCAAACTATCCTTCCTTTCACTATAATTATATACTGCTTTGTAAACTATCATTGTTCTTTAAACTTCTCACCTATCACTTTCTTGCCTGTCAATTGTCCTGTGTCCAATCATACCTCTATCAGGGACCCCTACATACAACATTGCAAAAGAACTAACAAAAAAGCTTGGGCATCTCACAAGAGGAAGCCAACACTCCATTAACTCTCCACTATGCCTTCAAATAAATAATATATTCACTTGGTGTTATAATTATTTCTTCCTCAAGTCAAGTGAAAAAGTCTTTCTTTGCATATGCCTTTTCATTCATTGTGGGCTTAAAACAACTAGACTTCAATGCTTAACATGCATTTTTGATTAATTCTATGCTATTTCTAAGTTTTTATTTATAAGCTTGTCTGAGCGCCATGGCTGAAGAGAAGCTAACAAATATTCCTAAATAAATTCAATCAATTACTGGCTGTTTTATTTGTATGGATTAGAATCCTAAACACTTTTTCATATACATAAGAAAGCAAAGATAAATTCAGTACATAGATTTATTTATTCAAAATATGTGTTCTACCTCCTTTGGGCTTTCAATTCAATTTCATATAAAATGGAAAGAAAATGTTGCAAATATAAAACTGATTTGTTATTGTTCAGAAAATATAATATAAACAAGAAGCAAATCTGGTTTTAATACAACAGTACTGAGTACAGCATAGACTTTTTACAATAGGATTAAATAGTATGCAAATTAAGGAGGATACAAATAATTTCAATTATTTTAAAACATATTCTGCTTTGATTCATCTATGATAAATCTGATTAAGAACTTTTATGATCAACTAACAACACCCTTAATTCTTGCTATTTCAGTTATATAATAAATAATAATAACAATAGCAATAATAATAGTAGTAGTAGTAGTAGTAGTAGTAGTAGTAGTAGTAGTAGTAGTAGTAGTAGTAGTAGTAGTAAAGTTGGAAGTGACCTTGGAGGTCTTCTAGTCCAACCCCCTGCTCAGGCAGGAAACCCAGTCTCTTCTTAAAAACTTCCAGTGTTGGAGCATTCACAATTTCTGGAGGCAGGTTGTTCCACTGATTAATTGTTCTAACTGTCAGGAAATTTCTCCCTAGTTCTAGGTTGCTTCTCTCTTTGGTTAGTTTCCATCTGTTGCTTCTTGTCCTGCCTTCAGGTGTTTTGGAAAATAGGTTGACCCCCTCTTCTTTGTGGCAACCCCACAAAGCTATCTATTTATCTATTTACTTTGATTTATTATGTACCTGAATGTACTCTTACATTCTCATCTTTTAAGAAGAATAGAACAGAGTATTTACAGATTCATAAAAGTAAAAGTAAAAAAAAAGCAAAAGAGTACATGAGGGTTGCATATTGTAGTTATTGAAAAATAAGATTACTTTGTTCAACTATCCCTGCTCCTTAAAAATTGTCATGCTGAAAAGCTACCATGAAGTACTGAGCTACTGAAATCTTTCTGGAAATAAATTAATGAAATGAAACTTAATTATCAAATACATTTCCATTATTTAAAAGATTAAAAGTCTAGATAACCTGATATGTATTCTACTTGATTCAATTTAGTAAAATATGCAGAATAATGGAACAATTACATGGCTTTGTAAATCTGCAATTCCATGTACTGTATTCTTAAATTAACAATTTACATGAGCCATGAGAATGTTTCATTACTTTGTAGACTTCACTAAACTGAATCAAATACAACAGCTAGACTAGAATTTGGATAAGGGATCCAAACTAGCTTTGAAATTCAGGCCTTGTGTGGCCTGAAATTAATACTGAATACCAGATGTTTAGCTGTTTGTGGACATAGAGCAGAAGATGCACCAATTCATAAACATGCCAGCAATATAGTTTCTTCTAAATTTAACATTGGGCAGCAGGTGTAGGTAACTCAATATTAGCACACTATAAATTCATTTCAGATGTGAATGCAAGCTAATAGACATAAGACATTAACCAATTTCTTGCAGAATCTAAATTGTATCCTTTAAAATATCCACCAGAATTTCTGGAATAATATCTATTGCAGTGGTACATATCTGCTAAGCTACCATGAAGCGAACTGTTAAAGGATATTAACACCAGCCATTAAATGTTTCCCTATTCTGAAATACTGTGAATATGGGATTATGGCATATGTCACATTGCTTGGATCTGTCCTGACAAAACTGAAAGAGTAAGTAAAAGAACAATAGTTGGTTAATAAGAAATCTTATACACTACTACCTGCTTTCACCCTATTCCAAAACTACCCAGCTTGCACAGGCCAAATCTAAAGGTTCCAGATTTACATACCAGATTTTTACATTAGGTAGGGCTATATAGTGTAAAGCATTTGATGACAGAAATGCAAAATGCATATATTTAAAGAAGTAATTTTTAATAGCTTCATTTTGGCTGACTCCTATGACATTTCAAAATCCTTCGGTGAGACTAGTGAAGACATAGTTATACTACGACCTAAGTCAGGGGTAGGCTGGCTCAGGAATTCTGGGAGTTGAAGTCCACGAGTCATAAAAGAGCCAAGGTGGCCTACCCCTGACCTAAGTAGTCATATGCATGGTAGCCAAATCCCAGTTCAGTTCATGGATCATACCAAGCCAAGGTTTGTTTAACTTAGAATTTATTAAATAAATCATGTATTTTATGTATCCATAAAATAACTCATGCTTTCTAAAACATAGTGGTTGGGTTAAAAAAACCCAACATAAAATGTTTTGGATTGTGACTTATTTTCAGTAAAATATGCATAAGCATGCAGCCTGAATATTTCATATTTGAGCCAGCAAGATTCTATTAACAAATGAAAAAAACGACTTACATTTTTCGTAAACTAGGGAGCTTCTTGAATATTCCAGTAGCTTCCAGAATTGAAATATCATTATCGTGTAGACGACTTTTGAAAAATAAAAACAAAAATATTGAAACATCTTTGGCTCCAAATGCCTCAGCAGCTACATATATATTCATTGCAGAATATTGCGAAAAGAAAAGCTATATAGTTGTGAATGTGTTGAAGGAGATTGGAGAAACACAGGTTCCAATCTCCTCAATCATGAAGTTCCCTGGTTGCTATGGTGCTGTCGATCCTTTTTTTCTGTTTAGCTTACTTTAAAGAGTTTTTATAAGAACAAAATGAGATGAAAGTCAGAAGCCTTGATTCTCAAAGCAGGAGACATCACGGACACATCCATGTAGTGTTCTTGGCACAATATTGAAATTCTTTGCTGTTGCCTCCTACAAGGATGTTTTACCAATTTCCTAATCCAGATTACAGGTTGGAGATTCTATAATACTTTCCTCATAGTTATCTGTCCATGTATTAATCAATTCAAAATCAATTTATATTTTCAAGATTGGCTAGGTTCTGTCAGTAAACATTGCCTATTGATGTATTTGATAACATCTGGCTGGAGCCACAAAAATTAATGCTTTTTATAGTGAAGCATTTTATATTTTTTTCTTACAAAAATATTACACTTACAGATCTGTGGTATATTCTGGAAGGTGGCTGGGGAGCCTAGTAAGCTTTTGGTTGGAACAGTCCACAAATGTTCCCTCACAGCGGCATTTCTCAGGACAGATGAGGTCCATAAAACACTCCCCACTGAATCTACTCCTGTAGTCCTCTGAACCTGCAAAATTGAAAAATTCTAGGTAAAGAGATGCATTGCAAAATACTAATAAGAGTAATATACCAAAATACAATTGACAAGAACACTTCCATTTATTCTGGAACCTCACAAGAATGAATTGAAATCATTACCTATGCTTTGCATTATGCTTTGAAACAATCAGAAAAGTGCACTTTTATGTGAATCTAGAGGGAGATCTGTCTTCTTTCCAAAAAGACAATTTAATTTTTTTCTTGATATTAAGAACTATCTACTGGCAAATGATGCAGCAGAATGAAAGTGGGCTAATGTCAGTCACATTAGCATAGCATAGAAATCAGTGAGTCTGTTTTATGAGTATAAATATTTTAACAACATAAGAACACATAACTGAAACTAAAATGAGTTCAAGAAATTCTACTTTCTTTAAAATAGGTCGCTGTATAATCAGTAAGAACTATAACTTAGTCTGCTTTTGCACTACAACTGTCAAGTACATTGTGTTTGCTTAATGAAATGCTATTTCAGTTTCTTTCTCCAACCTTTTCAATGAATAAGAACTGTAAATGGGATACTTGAGCTTACCATTGCCAAATTATTAATGGATATGCAATCAAAGATTTGTCACAATAGATCCAATGTTACTTCAATGTTTATTATGTGAACCATCATCTTTTTGCTGAAATCATTTGTTACATTCAATCATTCTACTAAATCTTAATTTTTCTTACTTTTTCAAGAACTTCATAACTTAGTTGCACTTCCAAAATGTTAACTATGAATGCCAAAAGCATCTATCTCAAAACACTTTTTAAAAAAGGAATTTGAAAAAAATGAGAAAAGATAAGCTAATCAACAAAAGGATTCCGAAAATATTTTCAATAGGATTTTGCTCAAGCTAATATTAGAATAACCATTTTTATACATTCTGAACAAATTTTTGTACATACATTCCTGTACCAAAATGGCCATGCAGAACTCTTCCTATAAATAAAATTCCTATAAACAAAAAAACCCCTTCATATAAAGGCTGCAAACAAACAGACGGTATATAACTGAGAGAACCCAGTTATGGAAAGACAAAGTTCATAGATGGATTTGATATTCAGATAAAGCTAAAGTTTTCTTATTGAAAAGTTATCAATAGATCTTGTTTCAAAGAGAATGTATTTCAAACAAAAGCATTAAATATGATATACACTATTATTTTTCTTTAAGTATTTCATATATAGGATAAAGTTTTTCCTCACTCTATAAGTACAGTTTCCTGTTCTCCTCCCTCAGTGTTGTTGTATGGTCTTATTGTTTAATATTATTTATTTTAAGTGGGAAACCCAGTGCTGAAATCCTGGAAGTACACCCATCTTTTTAGAAATATAATTAATAAAGTAGACATTTATTTATTTGTTAAATTTATTTGCTACTTGTCTACCCATGGAGCTACTTTAGGCAGCTTACAACAATAAAAAGGAAGAAATGAAAAGAGCATGAACAGAATAGAAGATAATATATCAATAAAATAAACAATGAAAAAGAGCTCAATGAGAAATACAACTATATGATTACACCCCCCCAAAAAAGATGACAGGTAGAGAGCAGAGAACAGGAAGGGGGGGAGGGATTTACTGTGTATGATATTGTGATTTGAGGCCTGTTTTTTTTTTACTCTAAAGAAAAAAAAAAGAATTAAAAAATTAAGCCGATTAGGATATGGCATTTTCTTTCTCATGCTTGGTTCAGATGAAATAGCAACAACAGGAATCAGAAATGTTTTCTTAATAGCTACAAATACATATATACATACACAGAATTTTAAAAGTGAATCATCAAGAGGACTGTAGAATGTGATCAACACTCCTATCATTATCAAGTATGCCAAGCTACCCATCAGCCTACAAACATCAGCAATCAGTTGCCAACAGGAGGAAATTTATTATTTAACCTGAGACTCAAGATCACTTGGACAGGTGGCAGTTCTATCATGTTATTCCCATTAGAGAAAGTAATGTGAAAGCCAGCCATCTGGCTGTGGTTATTTGTGTCCATCCATCTCTACTTATATCACTTTATCAGACATGCTTCCCTTGGCTTTAAATAGATAAGTTTCAGGTCAAGAAATGTAACACTAAGGATGACGTACAATTATTTTTCCATTAAAAAAATAAAGATGGGAGAATATGTGTCTACAGTAGAAACCTGTGGAATAGCATGAAAGCTATGGAACAGTGTTACTTGTAGAACTTTAAGAATGAAAACACCTTGGAAAGGATCCTTTTTTAAAAAAAAGATTTGGATGAAAAAAATGTAAGAAGTACAAAATCAGTGTTAAAGTTCATATTGGTACATTGGTACATATCTTCCATTATGTAAAAGCCCTAGTGGCACAGTGGTTAGAATGCAGTATTGCAGTCTAATTCATTGCTCACTGCCAGGAGTTCGATCCTGACTGGCTCAAGGTTGACTCAGCCTTCCATCCCTCCTGGGTCAGTAAAATGAGGAGCCAGATTGTTGGGGGAAATATTCTGACTCTGTAAACCACTTAGCGAGGGGGCTGTAAAACACTATGAAGTGGTATATAAGTCTAAGTGTTATTGCTATTGCTATTATTTACCTCTGGATTAGCTTTCATTATTATTTTACTCAAAATGCCTGCTATGAAAACAATTCAGTTCAATTGAGAAAAGGCTACATTCTGAAACTCAATAAAATGAGACTTAATTGTTCTATTGTAATATTGTAATATACAAAGTCTACTGTAATTGACTTATTATTTTTTGGGGGGGGGGATATTTTGTTTTTCATGGGGGAAATGCTGAGACCATGCTCAAGAAAACCAGCTTCTCAATTCACTTTTCAGACAGAAATGTTAAACATAAGAGATAAGCTAAGAACTGAATTATTGACAAAAAGTCACAGCAAAGTTAAACCCACTTTATTTTTTGCAGCCCGAGGTAAGTATAGGACAACCAAATGACAAATTATCATGATGTAATTGGATTACTTCAGCCCCTGGGACACTGATGATCTGCAATAGACAGTACTATCATATTGTTAGAAGAATTTTGTATATTGCACAGTATGTCAGAAATCAACAGAACAATAGAAAACAGTTACTATAGAGACCAGAAGACTTGATATATATTTCAAGGGATCCAGGGATTCCTTGAATATGTTACAAAAATTCAGGTCAACAGTTCACAAGTGGGAGTTGCCTTGCTGTTCAGTTTCCTGTGTAAGATTTGAACTCAAGGAAATTGGTTGGTGGTTGCAGGTTTCCTGAATGGTGTCAATTAATTGATGCCCTTGATGTGAACCAATCAAAACAGAGATTACACCATTCCTAGCAACAAATTAAATCAATGTCTCCCAGAAAATCTCTAAACATCATCCAATCCCCAACCCCAAGACAAAATTTAATACAGACTGCAAGGGAATTCCCACTTTTGAACCATGGAAGCGAGGAATCCTTACTGGGATGTAAGCTGAAATGTCTGCAAAAATCTTTTATAACCATCTCCTGAACACTGGAGAAACCATTTACTAATTACGTACAGGCAGATCACCTGTTCATCTTCTAACCTTCTCCTGTGTTATATATCTTCAGACAAGTGTGTATATTTAGCATATAATTTTATTTTGTTGATAGCAATGGCATGGTCATTATAGCTGGTAAATGGCAAGTAAACCCTATATTGTAAAATTTTAGTAAGTTTTTGTGTTGACTCCATAGCAGATGCACAGTTTAGATGACAGAAACAGCACCTTCAGAAGGTAGGCATTATAGAGATGAATTAGATATTAGGTGGTTACATGCATATTACAGTGAATTTGTAACAACTATTTATACTCTCCAAATACACAGTATGGAACAACATCAAAAGTGCATCTTTATTCTTGGCCAAGAATACAGTAGTTTCCACAATTCTACTTACTGACTATAGTTCTCTGTATTTTAGAAAGAATTATATTGCAACTGAATGTCATTCTGTGCAACACAGTGAAGTACATGGTTGCTTAAACACATATAATACTGCCCTGGAATTATTTAATAATGGGAAGCATCCTGTACAATATCACATTATTGTGATATCACATTATTGTGCCCGCTTACAATATAAAGTAATAAAGCTGACATCCTTCATGAAACGACCACTGAAGCTGGAACATAATTTAATATCTTTAGATACTCAATTTGTCCCCTTAAAAGGAATAATGCCACATGCAGGCTATTTTCAAAAACGCTATTTGAATGCTTGACTGATCTGTGGGCTTATAGTGAGATCTGCTTCAAGCTAGGTAATTGTATGAAATACTATGAAACTGTATTGTTACAGTTCTCTTTACCATGTGTCTCTTCTTCTTACTTTTCCTTTTTCCTTTCACAATGAGGTCATCTCTCACCTTGTGATGCTTCTGAAAATAGAAGAAGTATTCCGGCATGCCATGCTGCAGGAAAGCATGGAGCCTTCCATGGTGCTTGACAGAACCATGTTCAATTTGTATTGTTCTACCACATGGTTAGATCAAGCACAAAGGAAAATCCCATTAACAGGCAGAGTCAGTGTTAAGCAGCCGCCAAAGAAAGAAGAGCGTTGAGAAGAAGTAGCATGGAGAAGCACAAGCTGGAGATTTCATTGTGAGCTGGCTGTCCATTTCTCCCATGCATAAAGGAGCTGAAGTTCAAGAAGTCAAATTTATTGCTACAAAGGCAAAAAATAAATTTGTATTGTACAGTGAGTGTAGAAGAACAACTTCTGGACCCTTTTGGGGTTAAAACTGTTACAAATTATATTGAAAGTCTTGCAGCTGACAGTTAATGCTGAAGAATAAGGGCAGATTGTAAACATGATCTGTAACATCATTAACCAGATTACAGTGCATGTAGAGTATTTATAATAGTGTTATTCCTTTAAGTGAGCTTTTTGCTTTTGAGTTGCAATGCTTAGAAAACAACTTCCCTCTGATAAAACCAAGGCATTTAAAATAAGGATATAATCAGCATGTGGTAATGCTTATTCCTC